TACCTTTTCAATATTTTTTTTCTGATAACAATTTATTTAAGTAGTTCTTAAATGAATAATAATTCAGAATTGAATAGAAATACTATTTATTGACCAGCAGAGGAGAAATTCAGGTGTTTCAGTGTAACAAAAAAGATGAAAAAAGCAAACAGGCTATAAAATATGAAAAATAACTTATACTTTACAGCAAAAAACAAAAACACATCTCAGAGAAAAAAAGAAAATTTCAATTGTTATAAAGACAAGCTCAAATTCAATGATAAATATTCAACAAAGAAAATAGAAGCAGCCTATTTACAGATAAATTGGGAAAAATGTAAAGAAAAAAGTATAGAGGCAGAAAACACATTTTAACAAGTAGGAACATGTAAAAAAACTTTTATTGCACAAGGTGTCATTATTTTTTCAGGTAAATATGAAGCAAAGAAAAATAAACGGTTCGCTCATATTCTTGATTGTATATTTTTTATTACGTTTCTATGCTTTTGTAGAGCATTATGTAGAGGTGGAGCTTCAAACATCTCCTTCTTTCCTTTCCTGACCCTGCAGGTCATTGGGGGTTTGGTGTGGATCCTGGTGGCTTCGACTCGGGTCGCCCCGGACAATCCTCTGGGCTGGGTGATGTTTGTGTCAGTCTTCTGCTTCGTTGGGACGACTCTGTGGTTTTTCATCTTCGCCTGTGGAGGCAATAAAAGCAGCTTTTGGCCTGGCGTGGTTAGACACACACTTTGATGGCTTTATTTTTGTAGATACAGGACAAAACAAAGACAGTGTTCTGATAATAACCCTATATATATATATATATATATATATATATATATATATATATATATATATATATATATATATATATATATATATATATATATAAAACACTATATATTCACTAATGGTCTCTCTTACCTCTGGTTGCAGGACACAGGTTTTCATTTCTTGGCGGCTGTTTTCTACCTCAGTGCGTCAGTGGTTTTGGCCTACGTCACCATTCAAAATAAGAATTCTATGGGTACATTTGAGGAACTGAAGATCTACCGACTGGACATTTCTGCTGTGGTATGGAAAAATACCTTAAAATACCTTAAATTGAAAAGGTCTTACAATTAACTCTAACCATTATAACTATGATGCTGTCACCATAGCATATATTGTTTAGGTCATATCAACTAAAATGGATTACTGGGTTCTAAAAACTTTTATTTACTACTATTTATTTTTTTGTAAATTTTTTCAACATAATTTCATCCTTTGTTATCCCATAAATGGCATGGTATGGTCTATGGTGTTCTAAAGAAAACATAAAAAGTTTTAACCTTGAAAGCATGGTTTAAGAGATGGTTGATAATTGTCTTAAACATTTACCTTTAATTTGAAAAATCTATTGTAATTTAAAAAAAAAAAAAAAAAAACTAATCCCTGAGCAAAAATGCTATAAAAATAGTTGTTATATGAATATTGCAGCTTATGGTGTGGGATATTTCTACTGTGGTGTGGATAAACAACACCAAATTAAAATAAACTTCTCCTAATAGAAGAATTTGAAATAGATTTTAAACATAATATCTTGGCTTGAAAATGTTTTAGAAGTGATTAACCCTGACCTTTGTGACTATGAGGCCGTCACCTGTAACATATATTGTTTTGGTCAGATTTGGTCAAATGAAAATGATTGGGTTTTTTGTTTTGTTTGTTTGTTTTTTAAACCATAAAGCCACGGCATGGTGTTTTAAAGAAAACATTAAAAGTTTCACCTTGACAGCATGATTTAAGAGATAATTGTCTTAAACCTTTACCTTTAATTTGAAACATCTCTTGTAATTTTCAACCAAATGAAAATTAAAAACTACTAATCCCTGACCAAAAAAGCTATAAAGAATAGTCGAAGATTTTAGTCCTCACACCTACCATACATCATTAGAGCTTGATTTCCCCATATAGGTTTTTACTCATTTGCATTCTTGCATTTCCAAAAATCTTATAAAGAGAGAGGTGACATGGGATTCCAAAATTCCATTTTTTTTAAAGTATCATTTAGTAAAAGGATATTAAAGATGGCAAATAATTTCCTAGATTATTGTGATGGACCTTGACTCATTTGGTGGGTCACAATTCCAGAAGGAATATTTGATGCGAAGACAGAATGGTGCATGTCAGGCACAGAACAACATACATTAACTAACATTAAAACAAAGTGGTGACTGCATCATACTGAGGGATCAAGACCTGGGGATTAAGATGGATTTCATTTTCCAGCATTGCAGTGAGCCCATAACCTGACAACAGCCAGATGCATGTCTCGCTCCGCCTAGCTCCACAGTGGAGCTAGGCGGAGCGAGACATGCATCTGGCTGTTGTCAGGTTAGTGAGCCCAAGCACTGACCCAAATTACCGGTACCTAAATAATAGGTTTAGCTGGTGAAAAATAATATTCTGAACGCCTTGCAGGAATTAAGGAAGGAATTTCGACAGAAAATATGAAAGGTGGTGCTCTAGACAAAAAGGATGTCCTGAAAATGTTACCGCTTTTCAGAGGATTTTCAGAGTAGAGTGGGCAGAAATGACCAAAAGTATATGTTTTATGATTCCAGCGTTTTGTTTTGTTTTTTACAGAGTAAAGAGCTAGAAAATGAACTCTCTGCATTTAACCCATCCCCTTGGGGAGCACTGTGGGGTTAAGGGTCTTGCCCTGAACCTCTGGATTCCCAGTACAGTGCCCTAACCACAAGGCCACACTCCCCTAATGTTAGACTGTAAAGAATCAGAATGTGAGCAGAATATTAATTTAAACATTTGCACCTGTAAGAAAAGAGATTGTTGCATCTGTTTTATCATTTAAAAGCTCTAAACGGGTATTTTTCTTTATCTGATAAACTCCAAGAAATATAGAGTATATTGCATAAATTCCCATCTACACAGATAAACGTACCAGAGTGGAAAGATTTCAAAATATGTTTTGCCATGTGTACATGATAGCTAAGTGCTTTCTGAAACAGTTATGTCACAGCTCCATCTTTCTCCAAAACTTTCATGCAGCTCTTTACCATCATGTTTCTGTGATTACTTTGAATTGGTTGAGTGCACATAATGTATCTGGTGGTTTGCTGACCTTTTTTTTTCCACAGTGACCAATGCCACAGTTCGTTTCTGTGGCAGTGTCACAGTACCACCAGTGGGCCCTGAATACACGGTGGTGCTGCTTGTTGCTTTTTATGAACAGATACTGTTTTTGTCTCTCTGTACCCAGCGCCTCATCTAAACAAAAGTTATTATGCTGAACAGCATATTGAATAATATGTATATAGCATTTTTATTTTCCTTTACCAAAAAATGTCATTTTTCACTGGTGTATTTTCACTGTAGATATACTATAGTTAGTGCAAGTATTGCATACAATCCGAGGGGCGTCTCCCAAGGTCAGAAATGATTGATTCCAGTCTTAAACTAAATACTTTTCTTTCAGTCAAAAAATAAAATCCAGATTTTTTCATTTAGGAAATTTGTATGAAGCTAACAGTATTCCAAAAGTATACCTCTCTGTTTGCAGGAGGTGTCCAGATATTTTAATACTCTTTGTTTTTGTAGGTGATGTCTCATGTGGCTACTCTACTCTACTTCCTCCATGCCATTTTCTCTGCAATCAGATGGAAGAGTGCCTGAAGCATGAATCTCCAGACATGAAGTGAGAGATAAAGTGGTACATTTTTGTTTGACTCTTTCTTTAAAATGAAGGGATAAATGTCAAAATGTTACGTTAGTGTAAAAGAAGCATACCATTCTGCTTTTACTACTTCATAAGTTGCTGTTGTTGTGACAAGATAAGGGACTTTGTTCAACCATTCAAAGTAATTTTAAACTTTTTCTATTCCTTTAGAATATGTATACTTATTCAGATAGGACTTAAGATTGTCTTTGATTTCAATTTTGTCTGACATTTTATTGTTTATGTCTCACCTTCAATGAGTAGCTTTTCTGGGGCGAAGAAATATTTTATGGTTTTCTTTGGCCATTTTTTGTTTTCGATGGATGTGCCATAGTTACATTTCAATTATTTCATTTTTCCAATTGCCATAGAATAAAATACAGTAAACTATTACAGAACATTTGTTTCAAAAGTGTGTAGCAGGAAATGTAGAGGTCACAACTACTTATAAATTTGTGCCAACTTATAGTAGTCAAAACTTTCTTGAAGAATTCCACCACATAGTTTCACTGTGTTTCTTTTTCGTCTGTTTTCTTTATATTTTAGATTTAAAAAATTCAAATAGATTTTTCTTTTTGATTGACCTTGTTTTTTATATTTCTTTTACTAACAACAATCAGTGTGTTGTTTCACATTTTTATGACTGATATTATGGAGTAAATGTTAACATTTAAGATTGTTAATGGATGAATTCACTTTAATGTTTTGTTGATATTCTTTGTCACAAAATAAATACTTTTAAAACTGGAAGGTGTTGGTTTGTTGAAGATTTAATCAGAAGAACAATTAAATACAAAGGACAAATTAATGCAATTTAATGGGATTTGTCTATATACAAATGAGACTCAAATATCTGCGAGGATTAAATCAACCTGCCATTCTGACCTTGAATTAAAAAAAATTAAATAAAAATTCTGAATCTGATCTGAACCTGGAGGTTGTGTTGCTTTTAGTACAGAAGAGAAAAGCAGCATTTAAACTGAAAAGAATTAATTCATTTTATTGGATCTTCTTCTACCCCATAATAATTTTGCTTACCTAATTATACATTAATTTGCCCTTCATTCTATGACAGTCAACACTGTGGTGACCATGGTCTTTGAGTTTGACTTTTAATGCAATACAGCATGACTTATTTTTTGGAAACTTCAGAAGACTCAGGTGGAGATTATGTGACAAACAGACCACAGATTTGTTAGACTGAAGTGTCAGCTGTAAAATCAAATAGTGAGCAGCTACGGGTGGAGTTGGGGGTGGGGGGGTGGGCGGTGAGTACAAAGAAGTTTCACTCCACTTCATTGCAAAGTCAAATACCAGGCTTTCTGCTCCACTACATTTCTAGGAAGCAAGTTGTTAGTCATTCCTTTTGGCTCAGATCAGCTTGTTAATTTGCTTTTTTTGCTTTCTTGAACTGCAACTGGCCACACTGTTCTTCTTATCACTAAGTTCATTCTTATGAACAGGAATCCTGTTTTAGTTTTTTTACACACCCGGGTGAAATGGTAGCTCATTGACAGGCATATGCAGACCTTTGGTCTGCTGAGGAGGTGGTAACTACATCAAGGGAGAGGGACTAAAACATGCAAGATAGCAGCCCCTGAGAAGTGAATTTGAACACCACTGTTTTAGAGATTTGCATGAAGCTTGGTTGGAAGTTCAACTGAATACACTGGATTACTTACCCTCATGCAATCAGAGGCTCATCCATATGTCTAACAGCCAATTAGCATTCAACTGTACCTCCTTGTAATCCAATCAGCATCCGAGTCCTGCTTAAAAGAATCTACCAGCTATCAAGAGACTTTGACTCTGATGTCCCTGATTCAACCCTCCTCCATCACCTTCTCCACCATCCTCGTCAGCTCCATCTGGATCCTTCTTCATGCTGCCGCTTGCCACTGTTGAAGTAATTCCTTGGACTCATACTGCTCTCACAAGGCATCCCCAGCTGCTCTGGCGGAAGACCGCCCTGTTGAGCCTAATTATGAAAGAGGTTTCTTCACAAGGGGAGTTTTTTCTCTCCACTGTCGCTTCATGCTTTCTCATTATGGTGGTTCATATGAACCTGTTCCTTATTCCAGCTTGCATCAATCTGCATCCCATCCCTGTTCCGCCACCATTTTCAGGCCCAGAGCTTCATCTCTGTTCTCATTGAGCAGCACATGCATATAATCAAAGTAAAATTCATTGTTAATGTACCCCACCTAGGCCTGAGCACCAAAGTCATACAATATGTTTCAATATCTCAATATTATTTTTGTGAGTTTTTCAGGTTGAAATGACATTACACAAATGGGAAAAAGTCAGAGCAGATATTTTTTGTAGGCATGAGTTGTTGCCATTTGACCAAATTCTCAATGAGTTCTCAAAGCAGAGATGCTTTTCTTTGCGGTAAAAGATTTAATCTTAAATCTCTATTCCATAGAGAAATGTGAGGATAATCAAGACTCTTATGTTTTCTTTTTGGTGTGGTTTTGAATAAAACATAATAATCAAAATAGGTGTCCTTATTTTTTGTGACCTTTTTATGCTAAAGTTCTTTACAGGTGGTGTAGAATTTATAGTTGTTCTACTCATCAACACGTTATATGGTTTCTAAAAGTTACACAGCTCTGTAACTTACTCTGAAAATTATACAGCAATGGACTGATTTAAAAAAAAATTCATTTATACTTTTGATTACTTCAGTTTACTTTCAGTAATTGTTTTTGTAAATAATAGTCAGACACAATTGCTTTTACAAGCAGACCCTTATGACTGTTGCCATAAGGTTCTTCTTGGTACTTGTATAGGGAAATTTATTTAAAATTATTTAGGGAGTAAAATCACATACATTGGGCAAGGAGGTAAAAAAAAAGAAAGGTGGGATAAGAACTAAAGGGAGATAGAGAAATAGACAGGAAAGACTGCATGAAAAGAGAGAAAATAATACAAAACAGCAGATCGGATTAATTGACTATGATAGAGGCATTAACTTTAGCATATCACTGTGTCAGAGTGACAGAAAGGATTGGGTCTGAACCCATAAAAGAACAATGTTACATTTTCCTTCTCTGATCAGTTAGCCTAGCTTTGAAAAGTAATCCAGGTTTTACATGGCTGACAAGTTATCAAACGCAAACAAGGCTGAGAGATTTAAGAGCTTCACCAACACATTTGCTGTGGATTATTACATAGGGTACAATCTTATGATTCATTGTCGACATACAAATCTTTTGAGTCATGACCAAAAAGCCTTTTGTTTGAGAGGTTAATGCATAAATGTGTTCAATCACAGAAAGCTCTTTTATTTTGAATGAAAACTTATTTTAAAGTGAGTGTGTGCAATACAAATAAAGGCCACAGGGACCAGTAGGGCCACGGTGTCAGTGTTACCTGACAAAGTACTGAGCTGTTTCGTTATTCAACAACAGCAGCAACCATATCTTATAGGATCACTGCATGCCTCAGGTTACTAAATTCTTCCTGTAGTTGTTTCAGAAGCCTGTCACAGACCATCAGCTCTTGTTAAACCACCAAGCGGGCTGGATGCTTGTAAGGAGGGTGTGCCTGGATTCGCCCCACAACGAGGAGCTGTTGTGGGAAGGGATCCCACACACACACCCACACACATACACACAATAGCAGAACGGGTTTGTCTGCTAAACCTGGCTTAGGTATAAGGCTCAGTTACACCTGCTGTTACTCCGTTAGTTCAGAGGAGACCGGGGCGGTTGTTCGTTTGCTGTTGACTTAGCGTTGGACGAAGAAACAGGGTGAGATGGCTGCCACCACAGCACAGTCTATGGGGACCCTGCCCAGTGGAATGGGAATATGCACCACATTCCCAGATATTTTTTATCTGCCTGAACTGGTAAGAGGAAAATGATTCCTTCTTTTCTAATTCAGCTATGTGGCGATTTGGTCCCTTTTGTATTCTGTTTCACAATTTATTGGTTAAGATATTTAAAATCCATTGACAATATTCTAATAAATACAACAGTAATGCTACTTTTTTGTAAGAATTGTTTTTTTTTAGGATTTTAGTTTTTTAGTCCAAATGGCAAACAAACGAGACGTTTTTTTTCTTTTCTGATAACTATTTGATTGAACATCAATTAAGATAAGTTTTTTAAGAAGGGTAATGAGACAAATATTTGAATACAATTTGAACAAAAGAATCTAAAATCCCATACTCAAAAATAGCGTATAAAGATGCAGATAGCTGTTTTTAAATGTATATATTTTTTTAAGTGACAATTTGGTGTATAGTATTTTAAACAAAGGCTGAGCCCTTCAATTAAAAGTGTTTTCTTTTTAGAGAAATTAAGCATAATGAATCATTTCTAATGTGGGAGGAGTGCCTACATCATTTTACGTCTCATATTTCAGTCATATTGTGTCTCTGTTACCAATCCAATAATACGGTCAACCCTCTGTCTCACTGAAAAAAAGACAAAAGTAAATAAACAGAAAAATCTTTTATAAGGCCTGGAAAAGTACCTGCTGCAGAAGAGATACTCTCTTCAAATATAAAGATGCTTTGTCAGAATTAAGAAGAAAATGTAAAAAAAAAGAAAAAAAGAAACATCTGAAACTAAAGTAGAGAGTTAATAGGACACTTTGAAGAATTGTCTTTCAATTAATACAATAACTAATTGCAAAAGTAAGTTTAGGAAATTCCATCCATAATAATTAGTGTATAATTCAATTATATAATTCTTTCCTCACGCATTCCCTAATAATAATGGAAACCCATTAGGTCCACTCATTCTTATTATTTCAGTGTCACAATGGGTTCCTAACTCATCCTATATGTAAGAAGGAAAGCAGCGTTTTCCTTGTTTTATTAACTGACAGACATTTCGGTTACCTTAATAAGGTTTTAAGAAATGAATAACGTTCTTTTCATTGTTTGGCATAAGGGGTTTAACGCTTAATACAAAAGACTACATACACAACATTAAACATGAATGCAGAAAATTCAATTATAGAACATCTAGTAACTAGCAAAAAAAAAAAAAAAATTGTACATTTCTCCAAAAGGGGTTATTTGAACAAATAAAGAAGATACAATGAGAGAGACTGGTACAGAATAATGATGGGTAATGTGCAACAATGCATTACAGCAGCTCTCTGTACTTTTAAATTTCTTTTAGGCTCATTATTCTTCCCTTTGTCTTTTATATTTTAAGTAATTCAATGTACCAACATTTTTTGTGGGTATATGGAGACAGTTGCACTGTATTAACCACCTTACTTATCAAATGTGTATTGAGTTTTTTGAAGTATTCTGAAAATGTTTATATAAATGCTTTTAATAATTGATGATTTTGGACAGAATCGTTGGGCCTACTGATAACCTTGGTCCAATATTCTGACCAAAAAGTCAGAACACAACTTCTGGGCTTTAAATATGCAGGTCATGACAATTGTGCTTTTGTTCTAGAAGTAATTTTATATAAGCATTTTAAAATAAACAAAACCAAAAGTGGGAGAATGCATTGCAATCCAACTCATGTCTGTGGAAATCCTTGTTATTTATTTATTTAATTCTTCCACATTTTATAGGAAAATGCATGCAAAAGGGTTTGAGCAGCAGAGCAGATTATAGGAGTCACACCCAAAGTGCTCGGTTCTCTGCCAATAAGAAACAGGTTTTGATGAAGGAACCGAGATGCCGTGGTGCAACATCTCACTCAATATGACATTCTACAAACGGGCAATTCCATATCCTCAGTTTCTATATTCAACAGTCACACATACAAAGCAGGGTTTTATCAGAGTCTATAGAACCTAGGAGTCCAGAAGAGAGAATGGCATGCCTAGAGTCCTGACCTAAACCCAAACACTTGTTAGATCACATTAGCTGGGCTATACATGGACGTGATCAACACACTTTGCCTCTGTAACCTGTTTTAGGAGGTGTGGGGCTTTTATGGCTGTGAATGGTACTTCAATACAACAATGAGGGATCTGTTTGTTATCTGAATTAACTATTAAACTGCCTATGTGTTTGTTTTGTCAGACATAGTGCAGGGCCAATCCCTTTGAGATAGCTTAGCAAGACTCAATAGCAGACTCATTTCTTACATGACAAAGAAGATTTTAGCAAGTTTTTCCACAGTGAAAATACACAATATCGTGTCTGCAGTATATTGTCATTTTTGCAGTTCCCTGTACTTAACAATGGCGTCTTTTTCATAGCCCAGAATGAATATACTGTTTCATTGTTTGGCATGATAAGTACTTTTTTATGACAAAACCAAAAAGAAGTTCAGTTGGCTAAAAACCATTAAGGTCAGACGGAGAGACTGTCATTTAAAAAATCTACTCTTTATTGTGAGACATTCATTAGTTTAATTCATTCTTTATGACACGATTGCAGAGAAATTTAAAGCTGCAGAAAGCTAAAGCCAGGCATACGCTACGAGTTTTTGCCCCTTTTGGGCAAATTCTACAGTCGTCTGAGAATATTTTTTTGGAGAAAGATTTGGGGTTTTTTGGACATACAGTGTGAGCAGGTAGATCACATCAGAGCATGGGGCCATACAGTGTAAGAACATATGTCTGTGAACTGAGAACTTTTAAACCCTGCAGTTTCATAATACAGTTTGAGCTGTAGCTGAGTACAAAGACTGAAAATGTTGCACAGTGTATGCCCAGCTTAATTTGATATTTTTGAGCAAAAGGGGGTAATACAAGGCAATTTTATTCTTAGAGGAAACTTAAATAAATGTTAAAACAATTGATATTTAATAACAGATAATATCAATATTTACACTTTAACAAGGTTAAAGAAAAAAAAACGTTTAAAAAAGTCTTTTTTGTATATAATTTGAGAAATTACAAGTTTACCATTTTTATAATGTTAAGATTATGGTAAAAATGCAACATTTCTAAAGAAAAAATGCAAAAAGGCTGGTACAGAAAAAAAATGTCATAGATTGTTTTATTTCAGGAATAAAACATAAAAGATGTGTTACAGTAAATTTACCCAAAATAATTTGCTTGATTGATTCTTATTGAAATAAATGGATTCCTTTGGTTTAACTCCTTGGATAAACTGGAACATGGTTTTACGAACTATTCACGCCCTTTCTTTCTAAACAGTCTTTGCTGTGACCACTGAGTTGTAGCATAGGTTCTATGAAAATTCCAGTGAGTTTAGTCAACAGTATCATATGGTGACTTAGCAATTAAAACCTCCCACATTCAAAGAAAGGCAACTGTTTGTTTAGTCAACACTCAGAGAGGGATTGTCTCTGAGGTGGATGACTTGCTATTTGCAAACTATGTCTCAACAATTTTTACCCAGTATATAAAGCTTCTATAGACTTTTTAAATATTTTCCGTTTCACCACTATGAAGTAGGTTAATTCTTGTAATGGACCAATTAATTTTGGCTTTTAGTATTAATTGAATATTCAGTTTTCAAGGAGGAATTGTTATAAAAGCAAATTACAGAATAAGATTGTGAAGGCAAGAATCTATGGCATGAGTTAACTTATTTTAGTGAATGATCTACAATTCTAACAAAGTCAACATGCACAATGCACAAGCATAAACATAAACCCTCCCATGTGGGGTATTTGGTTAAAATTCTCTTTATAGGTTGCAAAGAGACTATATTTGGAAAAACCTTTAACTGCAATTTATTAAAAAAATTTTAAAGTTCATTTCACAAATTTACAGCTGGAATGAGGCTACACCGATATTCTAACAAAATAAATGCATCTCCAACTTCAAAAAATTGCTTTAATTGGTTACAAGTAGTTGAATTAAGTTTGCCAAACTTAAAACATTTAAGTTTTCAACTTATAAACTTGATAAATTCCTCTGGATCGACTTGATTGAATTACTTGTTACCAATTAAAGCAATAAATTTAAGTTGGATCTGCATTATATCATTGGGTTGATATAATGAGTCCAAGTTTAAAGCATCTATCTGATTAAATGCTGTGAGATTGAAGGATTTGAAGATTGACCTTGATCTCTATTAATAAACCCACTGTGTTTAATCTATTAATTCTACTGGCCACAAAGAAAAGCTTAGCATGATTCTACTTTTACAATGATTGACTGCTGTTATCATAGTCCTGGGTTTGAAAACATCACCTTGTATTCAGAAGACAAGTAAATGTTCCTTCTTCCTGAGTCAATTTGATGCTATTTTCTCTTTGCATTTGACAAATATGCTGGTGTTCAAGCAGCTTCCTTGAACCTTGGTGTTTCTTTGTTGTTCCTCGACCAATTTCCTTCTTTTACAGACAGAACAGATTCAGATGAGACAAAATGTGAAACGGGTTGGTGTTTCAAAACCACATCTTTTACTAATGTAAAAAATGCATTTGGAATTGATTAAAGGTATAGTGGAGGATGTTCTTTTTCTGGGTGGATCACCAAAATAAGTGGTGCTCCTAATTGTCATTTTGGTAATATGTTTACATAAGTCCGTCCTACGTGCTCAGCCCCATTTTCACTTACCGGTGGTGAGTCTGACAAAGTATAAGAATTGCACATCTTCTTTTGGAAAGTAAGCTTTTATGAGCGATGCAAACAGCAACTTTTAAACAGAGCGTGCATGAGGAGAAATGGGCTCACGCGTTTAACAGGCCTCTCGTGAGCGGGTAAAGGGTTGTGCATGTGCATTTTTTTTCATAAATAAAAAAAACCAAACTCCACTATACCTTTAAGCAGGCCTTCACTAACACTCTGTCATCATTGCAACTTTAACATCTTAATTCTCAGGTCTATGACTTAAGTTCAAGTTTGTGCAAATCAACACATTAAAACAAACTCAGGTCCCGATTGTATTCAAGATCAGGAGAGAAATCTGTTGAGGACCATAGGGAAATAAGTTTTCTTTAAACCAGAAACTAGAAAATTTGAACTAAGATTATTTTTAACTAAACATTTGGGGGGTTAATGTTTAACATTTAGCATTAATATATACCCAAGAAAACTCCTCACCTTTTTTTTCTGTTTTTCTTTGACTGAAGATGGTTGACTTATGAATTATCTAGTCTTGAAACAATGGTTCAAATTCATCGTTTGAATTATTCATTTAATTACTGAATAGAAATCAGAAAAAAAGTACTGAATGTCAGTTTATCCTTAAAGGAAAACAATGGTACATTATCAGGGTCACTCCAACAATGTTAAGACTTTCTCCTAACACGCTCTGTCCAGATCTTTGGAGGCTTGGTTTGGATCCTGGTGGCATCAGCCCATGTGACCCCACCAAACCCTTTGGGATGGGTGATGTTCGTCTCTATCTTCTGCTTCGTCATGACCTTCCTGTGGATGATCTTGTTTGCTGCTGGCTGTCACAAGAGCAGTTCTGGCTGGGCTGCTGCTGTAAGAACAATGTGAATTTAAAAAGATAAATAAATAAGATGGTAGGAAGAAAAACGTATGCTAATAGGTGTGTATTTCCTTTTTTGTACATGCAGGACTTTGTCTACCATGGACTGGCAGTAATCTTCTACCTCAGTGCAGGAGTTGCTTTGGCTTTCATTACTATGCTTAGTAAAGGTGGTGATCTACAGCTCTACCGGATTTATATCTCAGCAGTGGTGAGATTTAGATTTTTTCTTAATTTGAAAGGGTTCACATCATCTCCCCAATTTCCCTGAATTGTTGTGTAAAGAATTTTCTGACTATAAAACTTATTTATTCCCTTATAACACTATTTTATTTCTGATCCTGTTTGAATTATGCAAAAAAAACAAAACAAAAAAAAACATGGAGGCATTTTAAAAGACTTTTCCTCATGTAGACCAATAAGACCAATAGATAAAGCTGAATTAAACTTGTATTTTAGACTATGAACCTTTAGCTTTTCAATTTAAGCTATGCAAGACAGGGAATATATGTCTTTATAATGAATATTTTTCTGAGCTGACTAATATTTGATTATCAATTCAAATTGAAAAAACACAGACATTATTTATCTTTATGCTTTTTTTCTCATCATTCAGGCCTTTCCTTCTTTTTTAATCAATTTTAACAATGTTTAATGATAAATTCCCTGCCAGTATCTATTTACACCATTTAAAGTAGTAGATGGACAAGCTTCTCCTGGCTTTATGGCAGTGAAGCTCATCAGAGTTAGTTATTTCTTTAACTGATCTGTTGCCTGTTTCACTTGTTTTTCACACATGTTTTTCATGGTTATAAAAGTTTCACTGATAATATACCCACTTGCATTTTTTAAGTCACCTTATTAGGGATTCATAATACAAATGACTTTATTACATCTTGAAATAGTAAAAGGATATTAATACAAAAACATTTGATGGCATTCTAATTGAATGATTAGAAGTAGATAAGAAGTGAGAAAAATATTCAAACGTCTACAAAGACAATGCAAAGTGCTTTACATGATTAAAATATAGGAAAATAAAACAGAATTAAAGTACCGGTAAGTAGCGAAAAAAAAAATGCAGAATTTAAAAAAGAACATTAAAAAAACTTGGACTAAAGAAAATAAAAAAAGTTGAACTAATGATGTTTCAGTTGAACTGTTTAACTAGAACAGTCGAAGGCAATCCAAAACAAATGTGTTTTTAGTCTTTATTTAAAGGAACTCAGACTTTCCACACTTTTACAGTTTTCTGGAAGTTTGTTCCAGATAAGTGGAGCATAGGAACTTCTCCATGTTTAGTTCTGGTTCTAGGTATGCAGAACAGGCTTACAATCCTCAATGCAGCTATCTGGGTTTTTATTTGCCTCTCTTTATCAAAACTCTGCATGCAGAGCATAATTCAGTTGGTTTATGTAAATTAGTGCATCTTAAACATGTTTTGTGATTTCATTGATGATATTGTCATATGTTATGTGTTAAAGATTACATTTCTGCTTTTTTCTATAGTAACATTTAAGTACTTTTAAGTAAAATTATTCCACCTAACCCAGACAGTTGTTAATGATAAAATGTTTAGGATTCATGTTTTCTTTCCTTTTGAAGGTGTTTGCCTTTGCTGCCACATTCCTCTACTTTATCCACGCCATTCTCTCTGCCATCCGATGGAAACACTTTTGAGGAGAAAAGGCCAAACCTGCAAGAAGAACAGAGCAGCATCATTATTGTCATCTTTGTACAACTTTAGATTTCCACAGAAACCTAGTGATTCCTACTATATAGTCATTTCTCATTTAAAATGCTGTTAGCAACTATTTCATCAGCTCTCATTAAGCTTTTGATCCCAAATCTATTGTTACATAGGATTTTGGGTTGAGGCTTTCTGCACCAAACAGACATTTAATGTAGACATGTATTGTTGTATGTGGCCAGAAAAATTATGTGTATAGTTTAAGAAAACTTGAATAAAAGGTCAGTTTGGAAGAGAAAAATATTATTTTATCTTGGAAAATCACATTAGAATATAGGTGTCTTGATCATTAAGTATATGATTTTTTTTCTACATGTCAAGGAATTTATGCTGTTTTTACTGGTTTCTAAGGTAATTATAGTTGATTGAAATGAAAAACACTATCTTAATTGTCTTTTTATATTAGCTGCTAAGTGAAATTATTGGTATTTTTAGATAGGATTTGAATTACAAATGAGTTACTGGGTTAAGAGTTACAAGTTAAAGTTTAACTAAATGAAAATGAAAGATATATTTCATTGAGTTTATAAATAACATAAAACTCATAACAACTAGAGCCAGGTTATATTCTACACAGGTCTTTATTTACATCCAATTACATACGGTAGAATCTAATTTGGTCCAAATGTCAAATCAGTCCAGTTTATGTCAGTGCAATCTAATCATATGTGCCTTAAGCAGACATCATTTATTTAAGTGTCACATTTAGATATAAAATAATATGCAATAAACCAGAAAATTACAGGGTCAGGTATCTAAAACATAATTGAAATAAACCAAAATGAGCACCGATTTTGATAATAAAAAATAAATATTTATATTTTATTAGAAATACTATGCTGAATTAATTTATAAGGCTTTCAATTAACAATGATTTTTCTATGGTATTAGAGGATTCAAAATAATCTGCTGTTAAACTTATTGCATCTTTTCAATTGTATTTCAACAATTTAATGAATAAACTCCAAGTGTTTAGAAACGAAAGCCTCCTTCAAGTCAGTTTCAAGTCAGTAGCCTCAAAGGACCCCTCAAAAACATTACAATAACTTTCTGTCAATATGAATATGTTGGTAAAAATAAAAGATGATTCATTGGGAAAACATTCCAACTAGAGAAGTCCAAGAAATCGATGTTGCTTTTAAAAGTTGGTATCTTATTAATAAACATAAAAATAATAAACATGTTGCCTTATGAATTTAATTTAAAACAGAAGATACATAATTGTTCTTAGGAAGCATTTCTAGTTGTAGGTAGCACTGAATCAATTTGCAAACAAGCTGAATAGAGCCTCAAATGTTGTCAACTCAGAGGTGACATAAATTTAAGATCTAATTTCTCAGATAAATCTAATACAACATAGTTGTTTGTTTTCTAATATGCTCTTCACAATAAAAAACAAATAGGTTATTTGATAACTCTCTAAACAGGCATAAGTCAGAGTATATTTTGTTATAATTAATCCTTGTAAATTGATCTTAATATAGAAAGGATTTACTATTATCTAATTAAAATAAAATACAATTAAAATTTTAAAATTTAAATTAAATAAAATTTCTTGAGGCCTAAATGCACAGTTGCTTTAAAAGCTATTTGTTTCCATGTTTATATTCCCAAAGTCCCCTTGGCTTTTCAGATTGTCATGTGAATGTGTTTATATCACATTCGGGCAACGGTCCAGGTACAAATCAAAAAATAAATTAGCGATACAAATTTTTACTATAGAGTTTAAATTTTAAGCAATACAGATTTGATATTGTTTGATTTGAAGATTTTCTTTATTTCCCTTATCCAATGTTTAGGCTGTAGACAGCTACATCATCCACTCGGACACATAAGGAGAACGTTGCAAATTTGACATTGCAAAGTTCTGTGCACAGACATGCATTGTTAAAACAAAATGATGATTTAAAGTAGTCTAGTCTGGCTTCTGACTTTTATGTGTTGTTTAATACATAGTGAGCAGAAACATGTCCTGATTACACTGAGCCTAAGGAGGTTTATGTTATAATTTCATAGAATTCTGAATAGCAGCTAAATCCTTGCTACTTTTGCAATGTTTTAAACTCAAACCATGTACATATTTTCTTTTATTGGCTGTTTTGATTCTCAAGCATGAATAAAAACTGTTTATCATAAATACTTGTGCACATTTTGTAATATTGTCCAGAAGAAGTATCTTTAGAGAACATTTATTGATTGTTTTTCTATCAGTATCTAAAGAGAGATACGTATAGATGACTGTATCATTAACCATAAGACACATTAACGTTTTCTTCACATCAATAAAAAGGCTAGGTTAAACCCTCACTTAAAGGAATAGTACACCCAAAACATGATTAGCCTTCATTTTCTACTCACCCCCATGCTGAACAACACCCTGGAGTACTTTTTTGATATCTCAAATGCATCTGGAGATCTGGGAGGCTTCTTGCTGTCTGCTGACATTCAAATAAT